AAGAACTGGAAGAACTGGAAGGAACTGGAAAAAACTGGAAAAAACTAGAAGAAACTCGAAAAAACTGGAAAAAACTGGAAGAAACTGGAAAACCTAAAAAAACTTTAAAAATATTTATTTTAAATTCTTGTTGTTATAAATTATTATTATTATTATTATTATTATTATTATTATTATTATTATTATTATTATGATCATCATCATCATCACAATCATCATCATCATCATCACGTTTCTTTCATGATTGACATTTTATTTTCATTGAATTCCTATTTTTGAATTAAAGACATAAACTTTTTTGTTTACATTTTTTATGTTTTACTCATATTGTAGTCTTTTTCTCTAAGCTCTTTTGACTTACAATTTTTTTTATAAAAATTAGAAAAATGAGCAATTTTTAAGTAATAAAGGAAAAACTGAGATGTCTTATAAAAAGTTACTAGTATCACACCCGTGCGTTGCACGGGTCATTTTTATGTTGTTAAATTCAAATCATTTTTCAATGATAAAAATGGGATGCAATAGAATATAGAGATTATATTATTTTAAGATAAAAAACATCACTGCTTTACAAATTTCGAAAGACTTCTTTATAGACTACATTATTTATACAATTTGTGGGAATATTGTCTTCATTACATATCGGAACGTTTACATATAAAACGTTTACATATAATTATATTCATTTTTTTTAAAGATTTATATGTAAAATATAAAATATGTAAACTTTTACCGCTCTTAGTTTCATCATCAATAATCCTGACCTCTCATCAACAATTTTTAAAGCGGTTATGATCCCCACGTGTTCGTACAAAAAGCGATGTTGAAGCACCGAATTAAAACACACGTTGATTAATCTTACTACCTTGGCCTGGAAAAGTACCGTATTTATAGTATATAAAATTGTAACAGGCTATAGGCTATTATAATAATAGGGTTAAAGTTTTTCAAAATTGGGTGTATAATTATTCTTACCATAATTATTTTTTTTACGAAATTGGGTTTATAATTGTATAACTTACCTTTTTTAATTATTTTCTCTTGACAAAATCTTATGCTTTGCAATTGTATAACTTACCTTTATTAAAAACTTATCTTTTTTAATACATTAATTATTAAAAAAGGTAAACTCACATTTACCTTTTTATACTACTCACGCTTACCATTTTATATTACTCACGTTAATTACTATAAAAATAATAGCTATATTAACTTCACGCTTGCACAAAAAAAGGTTAAAAATGGCACTTAATTACTTATTCTTGCAAAAATTTTGGAGGTTTCCAATCAATACTCATAGTACTTATTTATACCCAAAATAATTAGTACACTCCAAACGAATTGAAAGCATTGTGTTTTGAAAGCAATATTCATTTTTTTTAAAAACAATTCCCTTTATAAAAATAAATTTAAAAGCATTGTGTTTTAAAAGTAATATTCCTTTTTTTAAATTATATTTCCTTTTGTATAATATTCCGCGGCATCATTATTATTGAGGATTTAGAACTACCTTTATTAGAAAAAATCCATTCACTTAATATTAATTAACAATTATAAATTGTCATATTATCGTCGTTGTTCCTTTTTTAAAATGATTACGTGTTAAAATTATTCGTTTTAAAAAGGAAATTGGTTAATACCGTGTGATAAAAAAGGAACTGTATCGATTATAGCTTTTAAACCATTTTTTAGATTAATAATAATAATAATAATAATAATAATAATAATAATTTTTTAGATTAATAATATCACGTTTTTAAAGGCATTGTGTGTAAAAAGTAATATTAATTTTAACTTCACAATAATTAACTTATCTTTCCATCATTTTAATTTGCCTTTCTTTAATTATTATAAATATAATAATTGTAATAATTATTATTATAATTTTGGTCACTTACCATTTTAACTTCACAATTGCCATTTGTAATTGGCATACTATTTGGGCGGGAAAACCATATGTTGACTCCATGTCTTTTTAAATAAAGTATGGATATTAATAAAACATTCAATGTAACTATCTTATCCATAATTTTTTAGTATAATTTAACATATTGATGTTTTCCTGTTTTATCATGTAGACTAATATACAAAAAAATGTCTTATTCATATTAAAAAGTTGAAGAAAAAAAATAAGTGTGAATCGTAAAAATAGTGAGATGAAAAAAATAATTTATAAACTATAGTTATGAATATAATAGTTGTAATAATAATAATAATAATAATAATAATAATAATCACATTGAATTATATCATTTTTAGAGTAATTGGTTGAGGAGTAGAAAGAATTTGAAGAAAATGAGAAAAGTTGGAAGAAACTGGAAGGAACGGGAAGAAACTGGAAGGAACTGGAAGAAACTGGAAAAAATTGGAAAAAACTGGAAGGGAGAAATACGAAAATAACACTTTAATAGCCTTATAATACTCAAAATAGCAGTGCTATTAGTTTTTGGGATGAATTCTTGTTTTTGTCCTTAAATAAACTCCCAAAACTAGAATTATACTGCAATATATACTCTTCACTGCCACATTATAAATAAGTATGAAATTCTCTGCTCTTCATTGCCACAATATGCTTGAGATTGAATTTAGTGCCCTAACACATACAACACTGCCAAAAAAAGAGCAGAATTCATTTTAAGCCGTGACCTTTTATTTTTTATGGTAATTATACACTGCAATATATACTCTCTACACTGCCACAATATGTACTTCCAAAAATTCAATGTCTGAAATACACTGCCACAATATATACACTGCCAAAAATTCAATGTCTGAAATACACTGTCACAATATATATACACTATCACAATATATCTACACTGCCACAAAACACAATAATTAAAACTAAAAATACAGCGAAATCCGAATAAAAAGATGCAAGAAAAAATTTTAACATTTAATTTTCACACTGCCCACACTATAACACCCAATCTTCACGCTGCCAAAATCACAATGTCTTTCAAAAGACCTAATTTTTCAAAAGGGACAAATACTTGGTATTTCAAAATTGATTTCACAACATACACCTAATCTTCAATACGAAGAAAACACAATAATTAATATAAAAAATACAGGGAAATCCGAATAAAAGGATGAAGGAATGAAAATTAAAAATTGAAGGAGAAGAGAAAATGATTAGCGACATCAAAGATTAGCATGGGAGAGAACCTGATGATTGCCGCTGCTGATCGGCCAAGGAATCGTGAGCGAAGGACTGAGGACACATCATCGCTGGCGAACGGAAGGAGAGACCGTGGAGTTCAATAGCGTGGGGGAGAACGAAAGGAGAGATTGGAGTTGAATGCCGTAATTTTTAATGAAAAAAAGAAAAAGGGGTAAAGGGTATGATAGGAAAGGATTGACACCATAAATTGCTAAATTTGTTAAAAACAATGAGTAGTGCTAAATGCGTAATTTAGGGTGAGTTAGAGTGCTATGTAGGGTGATTTCTTAAACTGGAAGGAACTGGAAGTTAAGAGTTCAAGTCCTAAAGAACAGGCCCTTAGTATACTTTTTATAACACGGTATTAAAAATTTTAAGGTATGGAATTACCATATTAATAAATAATATAATTACATGGGTAATTTAATTACCATAGTTACCTTTACTCGGCATTTTAATTTATTACACATTAAATGCCCTTTTAAAAAAAGTATAAATATTACTTTTTATGATACCGTGTGAATAAAATTATTCTCATACCAAATAGTTATACTTTTTATCCTCTGTGTTAATTATACTTTTTATAACACGGTATCATAATTAATATACTTTTTATAACACAGTATTAAAAATTTGAAGGTATGGAATTACCATATTAATAAATAATATATTACATGGGTAATTTAATTACTATAATTACCTTTTACTCGACATTTTAATTTATTACACACGGTACATTATAATTCATAAATATTTATTACCTTATATACAACAGTATTGGATTTTACACTTACCTATTTATGTTGAGCGCTTACCTTTTGTGATTGAAGACCATTTAGGCGGGAAACTGCAAATGAGAATTCCCCTCTTTTTAAATATAGTATAGTTGTGCCATTCTAAAACTATTTTTCTAGTACTATTTGTACGGTCAAACTTTATTTTTTTTATTATTTTAATTAGTTATTTGTTAAAAAATATAATTCTATTACCTATAATTTTGTAGCATCATATTTTTTAGTTTTACACTTATAATCAAATACGTTTAATTTAAAATAAAATCGACCAAATAAGTTTAATTAAAAATATAATTCTATTACCTATAATTTTATAGCATCAATTTTGTCGAACGTTGACGACACACCCATGATTATTTACTAATGTTTGTATTAAAGAGCATAAATAATATAATATAATGTCGATAAGGGGATATGTTTTTCTCAACACGACATTTGTCACTATTTATACAAAAAACTCAAAAGGAAACGATTGTTTTTTAAATAAATATCATCGCATATAACTATGTAGTTAGGTTCGGAAATTTATTTTACAAAATTAGAGGACATATTACTTTGTATGTATAACTAATTCATTTCTTTTATATTTAAATCATAATTTAAATTTAAATTATTGGAACGTGTGTCTACGCAATTGACCCAAATAAGGAAACTAACCATTTTTATTCATACACATTAAACACTAAAAGCCATAATTCCTTTTTTATTAATGTAATTTTTTAAAATTGTACTATGTAGGTATAATCAATAAATTTTTCTTTATATTTAATTCGTAATTTAAAAAATTATTACGTTGGTCTACGCAATTGACGTTCTATAAAGGAAAACTAACCTTTTTTTATTCCTATGCATTAAACACACGATTTTATTTAATTCCTAATTTAAATTAGTATACCCTAAAAGTCTTACCGTGTTAACCTTTTTTTAATTAAATACCATAAAAGTCTTACCTTTTTAACCGTGTGCATTTGGGTGGGAATTCCATGGAGCCATTTTCCCCTGCTTTTAAGAATAGAATGATACATAATACGATAACATTTCAAAGGGTTACAATTAACTTATTTACTAGAAAGTAATCCAACATCTCAAATTAGCTCATCATTTGCGTCAAGCTAAAGTATAAAAAGTCAAAGTGAACTAAATTAAAATACACATTAATATGGAAGATATAGTCCTAAGCTTTAATGCTCGTCATTGTCTACATCTTCAAGTTCATCACTCTCAGCTTCATCATCTTTGTTCCATCAATCATCATCATGACTTTTCTCAGTGGTTGTAATACCATCAATTATAAGGTCATCGATTTCAGATTGATTAGCCGTTGAATCCTATGCAAAAAATAAATAAATTATAAGCACATGATAACGTAATTACAAATTTTGCACCAAATTAACCTTACACTCATGCTAGTATAGGTGGAATAATAGCTTTTAACTATATAATGAAGTAAACAAAAATCAAATGAAATATGGATAGTTAACAATGATAAATAGAGACTAACCAGGGTATTTAAAAGCATTGATATTACATCTTCTAAATTCTTGAGTCTCTCTTTTTTTCTTCATGCTCTTGTTCAATTTTCAATCTTTTTGCTTTCTCCTCCTTCAAGGCGCACTGTTTAGAACGTGATTGAGGAACTCTAACTCCCATACCAAAGGTCTTTGCATATCCATTTTTGTCTTCTCCCACTACCTTCTCAAAAACTTCATCACGAGCAGGTGCACCGACTGCTACATCTTTCAAAGTATCCAACTCCTTAAGAATTAACTCTTGTAAAATTATGAATAAATTATCAATGAATAAGGGTATAATTATCTAAATAACAATGAAAAATTAAGGTTTTGCCTACTTTTATTTAACCTTTCTCATAGCTGAAACATCATCAAGTTTTAAACCTTTCTTTGGCTCATGTGTCAAGAGCCATGTTCCAAGCTTGTCTACCTTATTTCTTTTTGCCTAAAAATTATGTTGGATACATCAGTTATTATTGACATAAGCACATAAGTCTTTTATCACATGACAAACGAGAAGATCATATTAACAAAGTAGCTCCACAGTTCGCAAAGCGTAAAAAAATGTAAGTTCGTGTAGTTATTTATTTGTTCCACCCATCCCAAATGAATATGAATGATGTCAAATAATGTATCAAGTACCCCTTCGTTAGCTCGAATACATGCATGACTTCTTGTCCCAGAATAATGTTGAACTCGATTCTTACCACGATTCTTAGTCCGTATTTCGCTTCTTTTCTACATGAAAAAAATACTTTATATTCTTAGAGTTATACACATCAAATAAATTAGCATATACAATGAAAAAGGGTTTTAAAATAATACCTTGCCTAAATCTGAACTCCAAAACTCTACCAAGTTCGTCCACATATTCAGAGGTATATGTTGAGCCTTTTTCAGTAATGCTGTTGCAAGATTTTTTCCATTAAAATATTTTTCTTTATTAATTTTAGCTCTGATTTGTAATCTTTCCAAGAAGCATGTAATTTCATTATCACCCATTCATGTGGCTCATTTCTTTCGGGAAAGTTGTAGGACCCCTGAGACATTTTATGTTTCATGAAGAGGTAAATTGTGAATAGTATTTTAGAGTCACTTTAATTTTTAAGGTATTGAAAATACACATTTATAAAAATTATGCATACCTTGACTTCTATCATATTAGCTCCTTCATTGTCTCTTCTTTTTTTCTCCAATAAAAGCAATCAAGTGGTAGTTTTCTAGAATCCCGTACAAGGGTACCAATCAAAGAAGACATTTGTCTCCGTGAATCACTTGCTGGCACATCATCTTCATTAAGATCAACAAAGACAGATTTGTGCAAGACCTTCCTTTTATTGTTACCACATCCTTTTACTTTCTTTTGCACATTACTTTCAGGTTTTTGCATATGACATTCATCATCACCAATTTGAGCTTCAGTGTTAAAGTTTTTGCCATCTTTTCCCACGATGGTAGGAGTTTCAAGAGTACAGTTACTTCCTCGTCACTTTCAATATGTCTTGTGGGATTTAAGATTAGAACAATATCACGCCAATATTATCCATTTACATCTAGATTATATTTAATATAATCATGATATGTGTAGATGACTTACCTATGCCAACTGATACATGTACTTCATTCCTTGCATGAAAACCAGTTTCAATAAATGGAGTTTTCGCAGTGTCTTTACCGGTTCGTTTAAGGCGGTCTTTTGCTAATAAAAAATAAAAGTGAAAATGATAGAATGACATACAATTTGAACACTAAGTGTTTACATGGTTTACCTCTAGAAACATAATGATCTCCTCCATTTTGTTGATTCAACTTGTTTCTACTATGTACTTCTTTTCTCAGAGTGAGAGGAGTTTCATGATTTACTTCCTCGTCACCTTCAATATTATGTCCTGTGGGATTCAAGATTATCACAAGATATTCCAAAATTATCTATTTACAGAAAATGACTTACCTATATCAGCTCATACATGTACTTCATTTTGTGGTTGAAAACTGGTTTCAGAAAATGAAGTTTTCGCAATTGCTTTACCTGTTCCGTTAAGGCAATCTTTTGCTGATAAAATATAAAATTGAAAATGAAAGAATGACATACAATCTGGATGTGGATTGCACTAGGTGTTTAGATGGTTTACCTCTTGAAACATAGTAATGTCCTTCATTTTTTTTGAAGTGAATCTAGTGCTAATAAGATCTTAGATGAAACCTCATACTACCTGCCAGTACCTTAAATGTTTCATGTTTCACAGATTAAATGAATAAATCTAAAATCTAAGAAAGCATAAACATTTTCTAGATCTAGATTTTAGGTGAAAAAACTATGGTTTATGTAATAAAAATATGAAAGTTGAGAGAGAGGGAAAAGAACACAAAAATGAATCTCCACAAGTCCAACCCATGGGGTGTCGCACAAAAATAGAAGATGGACGATGGAGACAGAAGGTGAAAAAGAGTTACCTGATAGGGTATGAACAACGGTGTGTTGATATGGAAACGGATGGAGGAGGAGGAGGCCGGCAGCTCTCTTCACTCTCTCTTTCTCTCTCTTCACAGATCTGAAGTTGGCATTTGTTTCAACCACATCTGCTTTGTATGCGTATATCCATGGCACAGAGCCAACCGGCTGGTGTAAAGCAATTCCGAAATATGGACCCATAACCAGCTGATATAGCAATTTTGAAATATGGACGATGAGGATGAGTGACCCAAAATATTAATTTTATTTTGAAATATCATTGCATTGTAAATCCAATTTAACAAAAATAAATATTAATTAGATATACATTATGAAGTTAAATTAAACGCTCATAAATATCAACTTAATCAATTCGATCAATTCCAAATACAAAAAACAAAACAAAAAGCCTTAATTGTAAAACCATCGGTGGTGGTGATCACTTTCTGAGAGGCATAGGGGTCCGATTGGTCAAAGATCCATCGGGATCCATCTTCGACCCAAAATCATACCTTTTAGACCGTTAATTTTGCAGTTTCGTCTTTTTTGGGTCTTTTTCTTACTTGTTTACAGTTTTTCAGCTATAAATGCGCTGCTTGTGAGCAGTTTTATGCAGACTTGGTATGGAATTTACTTTGGTTTTTGGTTTCCGGTTTCACGGTCAATCCCTTGATTTTTGGTTTCCTATTTGGGGTTGACTGACATATCTTTTAACCGTATTGGAAATAGTTAAGAATCTCTACCTTATTATTCTACATCAATATGAATAATTCTACATATCTTCACTAGCGCTTTCATCCCACTCATTTTTTATTTGTTGATTTGTTCTTTTACAATATATCTTGATTCTATTCGATCAGTTTAGTCCTTTTATTTTAATCTTTAAATTTTAGTTTTTATCTTTTAAATTTATACTTCATTTTTAATATCATATATTTTGTGCGACCAAACAACGAAATTCAAATTGATGAGGCTTTTCATTTCCAATTTCATGACCTCATTTTTGTGTACTAAATGATACCTAATTTTATTTTTTTTAATTAATATATTTAAATTAAATGTCAATAAAATCAATATCGAGAGATAAAACGATGTTTCTAAAACCATAGACAATACCGACAGATAACTTTTTGTTGCTAATACTATAAACAATACAGACAGATAAAGTTTTTTCGTTAAAAATATAAGTTATACCGACATATAAAAGTTTGTTGTTAAAACTATAACCAATAGCGATAGATATTACTCATTCTGTAGGTCAAATAGTTTTTTCCTTCAAATAATTTTATCTGTCGGTAATATTCTCTTTTTAGCGACAAATAAGGTTTCTGTCTTTAAGGATCTATCTGTACTACCTTTTTTTTGTAGTGTGGTTGTTTGCTTCCAGAATGTGGGCATTGTTTTCCTGGGTAGCCCAGACCTGTTCTTGCAGCTCTTGGATCAATGTTTCTTTCTCACCGAGAATGGAGAAGGCTTGAGAGTTCCTAGTAGAGACTCCAAGGTAATCCTCAACCAACTTGGTGATAGCGCTATGTGCCTGAACGAAAGAAAATAAAGGGGAGGAAAAGAAAACCAAAGTGTGACGTCAAGAATTTTGGGAGATGAAATACCTACTCCAGTAGTCCCAAGGTGGCAAGCCTGGCCAGGTCTGGCCGTTCATGAACTGAACCCAGGGGAGAACTCTTGAGAACTTCTAAGGCTTGCTTTGTCATCATCCGCCCTTGGGAATGGGCATCCTTAGTCGCCTGAAGCTTGCACTGCACAGAGGCCCAATTCTGCTTGAAACAAGCCAAAGTGTCTTGACTGAACTTATAGGTGATAGGAGGACATAGAATGGCTGCAGGAGAGGAAGAGGTTGGTGAGGTTGATGAAGAAAGCATCTTAACATGGTCAGTTAGGGCCCTTGTCGCATTGGTGGGGACCTTTGATGAAAATCCAGGAAGAGTGGTCACATAGGGCTGCCCGGCAGGTGTAATGGCGTCATCAATACCCTCAGGCTGGTGATCCTCCTAGGGCAGCGGAGCCATATTATCCATCCGGGCCGTTGAGTTGTTTTCCTTAGAAGGTGCACCCGATGGAAGATGGTCTAGAACTACCTCTTGAGCATTAGGGGTAGAAATATCTGCTGATCCCTGAGAAACTAATTTAAGGGGGGGGACTTTTCTCCCTCTTGAGTTGGGACAGCACAGAGATGTCCATATGCTTACGCTTCTGTGTGGTGGATGGTTTCTGGAAGACCAGAACAAGAGGTGATGCATCTGGAGCCGAGGAAAAGGCGTTGATGGACATGGGATCATCAAGAAGGTTGGCAGGCTTGACCATGGAATTTTCAGCATCAGAAGATTGGGGTTAATTCCGCTCAGGAGAAGTGGGATCCTGAAAGCCGCTGGCACCAGAGTCAGGGGAGATGATTTAGGCTGAATTGGATTAGATAAAAGGATGATTGCCCAAGAAATAGAACCCAGCTTGCTTGTGAAAGGTAACCATGCAAGGATAGGCAGCGGAAATTAAAATTTTTAACATCCTAACATGATTATCTTGCCCAGAATCACGTACTAAAACTTATAGTAGTAAGAAATTTGTACCTTTCTCCGTAAGCGGTAAAAACGAAGAAGTCGTAGGAAGAGCGTTGAAAGTGCAAACGTAACCGTTCAAGCGTCCGGTCTCCAACTTTGACACACGAACAACGCCGGAGTCTACCACAATCTTTATGCTAGTAAAGATTATAGTAGTATAAAATATAAA